AGTTTCCTTTAGAATATCTGATATATTAAGTTAGGGTTAGGGTTAGGGTTAGGGTTAGAGTTAGGGTTATATATATATATATACACTCTTGTTTAAGATGTTATGCTAATACAATTCATTTAAAATGTAATAAATAATTAAGAAATGCAAATTAATAGGCATCTACAATAGTCAAACTTATAGTCATGTTAGTTAGGTTTTCTAGGTATATACACATATATTTTAGATAGATAGATAATCTTCAAACACTTCAAAGACCTAGAGAAAATGGCATTTTAAATGTTTTAATAACTTAGACTTTTCATGACAGTGAGACACGCCTCCTCCTGGCAGCACCAATGTACAGAGAAGATGATGGACATCAAAGAAACTCTGTATGGAGTTAGTTTTCTTTACGGCAAAAGCTAGCCATATGGACAAGGAAACTACCCTTGCCTCAATTGCTGACAGTTACTGTTCATACAGGATCAACAGGACACAAGAAGGGCGACTGTTGAACTTTCCCAAGACAAGTTAGGACAGTCCTTCAAAATTTCTTGCTTTACAGACAAGTCTGTCAAATATGCTAGAACTGTAGGTCAAAGATGGATGCCCCAACATTACAGAGAAACTTTGGGTGACTGTCCAGATAGCCGATAGTCCCTGTCATTAGGTAACTTTTCATCCTTCTAGAGAGTTTGATGGAGTTGAAGACTAGTCATAGTTATAATTTTTCTTAGTTATGATAAAAGGATAAATTAGACATAAAACTTTGGACTCACTAAGATAGGATGAATAATTAAAAGTTTTCTCTGATTTTGCCAAATACAAATAGACTGAATATTGTAACTAATTCTTGCTTGACAACTGTTTTGTTGTATGTAATTTTACTGTGTTAAAATTGAAACCTTCCTTTTTGATTAGACAGAAAGGGGGAAATGCTGTGGGATAATCCTTCTGTATGCTATGAAAATGTATTATTCTCATTGGTTAATAATAAAGCTAATTGGCCTATAGCAAGGCAGGATAAAGTTAGGCAGCACTATCAAATTGAGGACTGGGATGAAGAAAGGCAGAGTGGGAGAAGACACCAGCAAGTGTCCTAAGAAGCAAGATGATAGAGGATAGGTAAAGCCATGAGCCATGTGGCAATACATAGATTAATAAAAATGAGTTAATTTAAAAGTAAGAGCTAGTTAGTAATAAGCCTGAGCTATTGGTTGAGCATTTTGTAATTAATATAAGTGTTTGTATGTTTATTTGGGACCAGACAGTTGGAACAGAACCTTTGTCTACAAACTGGTGCTGCTTCACCAACTACAACGAGATTTCACTGCCTGGCTCTGGAGTATTGAGTTCTGATAAACAATCTTGAGTTCTTAGTAAAGATAATGGCATGGGGCATGGCTGTCAAAATATCACAGCTGCAAAGATAAATTTGCAGGTTAAAGTGCAGGTACTAGAAGCAAACATCAAGGCAGTACTGCAAAGACAGAAATCTGGGTTTCAGCAGAGCAAATAAAGAAGAGAGAACCTAATGGTTTGTGATGTTAACCCACAAGTGGATACATGTTGCCTAGTTTGGTTGGAGTCATAGGTAAAAACTACCTCATCAATAAGTGAAAAATATTTTAATAGGTGTCTAGCTACTTTCTTACTTTATGTTAAATAATGATGCCATTAGAAGACTATTATTTGCATTTATGAATAACACTCATTAAAGTAATGTCTTAAGGTGACTAATTTTCACAAGCTGCATGACCATGCTTTTTGTAGATAGGAATAGCAGTGAGCTAAAGTTATTAATATTCACTAAATTCTGAGTTAGAAACTTGACATCACCTCCACTAACTCATCTTATTATGGGAGGACATTGTAGTCAAACTGTTTATGTCCTTCCTGACAACTCCCAAATCATGACACAGAGACTTATTGTTAATTATAAAAGCTCAGCCAATAGCTTAGGGCTGTTTCTAACTAGCTCTTATAACTTAAATTAATCCATTTATATTAATTTACTTTCTGCCTCATGGCTTTATTACCTCATCTCAGTAGTGCTCATACTGCTTGGTCTGCATTTCATGGCATCTCAACCTTTCTTCTTCCCAGCACCCTCTGTGTCTGGCTGCTTGCCTATACCTCCTGCCTAGTTAATGGCCATTTAACTTTATATTAAACCAATAAGAAGGCACCTTGGCAAAGACACATCTTCACAGTGTATGAAACGATTATTCCACAACAGGACATGGAGCCTTGATTTTACTTGCTAAGTGATTGATATAAGATGATTTTTTAATGTACTTTGCAAACAGAAAAGATTGGCTAATGAAAACTTTCTGAATAGAAGTATAGGCTTTGAACATCTAGATATCTTTCAAAACAGGGATTACAGAACACATATATGGTTACAGTTAGGGTTTTATTTTGGTGTGTGTGTGTGTGTGTGTGTGTGTGTGTGTGTGTGTGTGTGTGTATGGTATATTGTCAGGGTTATGTGTCTATTGCTGTGATAAAAACACTATAACCAAAATAAAGATGGGGAAGAAAGGGTTTATTTGACTTACAGGTTACAATCCAACCTTCTGGCTACAATCCATAATCAAGGGAATTCCAGAAAGGAATTAAAGACAGGTATCTCAAAGCAGGAACAGAAGCAGAGACTGTGAAAGAGTACTCCTGGTTTGCTACAAATGGATTGCTCAGCCTGCTTTTTTATACCACCCAAGACAACATGTGAAGGGTGGCAACATCCCCAGTGAGGTGGGTCCTTCCACACCAATAATTACTATAGAAAATGCCCTGAAAATTTGCCTGGAGGAAATCTGATTGAGTCATTTTTCTCAATTGCAGTTACTTTTACAATTGCAGTTACAACTTAGCTTGTGCCAAGTTGACAAAAATCTAACCAGGGCAGGTGGTTTCTTATTCCAAATGAAAGGCAAGCATAAAGCCTTTTAGGCAACTGTTCCTCAGGATGTTATGGAATAATGCTTTAAAACTAGTATTCTGGAGGGAATGAAGAGCAAAGAGTAGTCACAAGTGCTGATTTCTGGTAGTTAACAAAATATTTTTATGACATTTTAGATTTTTCTGTGAAGTTCTAGAGATGTTTTGGAAATTCTCAGTAGCAAAACATACCTGAATTTGGATAAGGGCTTGCAATGCAATGAGTGAATAGGAAGTGAATCCTTTAGCTACATATGGAGCACAGCTTTAAAATCAATACTTCTTAGTTGATGTAAAAAAGAATAAAGATGTCACTTCATCTTTTAAGAATTCCAACTATACAAAGGTTTGATGCCTAAAATGAATGTCTACTGTACTATAATTAGATGATAAACATAACATTAAACTGCCATAATCTTGAAACAGTTTTCATCATTTTTTTTTTTTTTTTTTTTTTTTTTTTTGGTTTTTTGAGACAGGGTTTCTCTGTGTAGCTTTGCGCCTTTCCTGGAACTCACTTGGTAGTCCAGGCTGGCCTCGAACTCACAGAGATCCGCCTGGCTCTGCCTCCCGAGTGCTGGGATTAAAGGCGTGCGCCACCACCGCCCGGCAGTTTTCATCATTTTAACAACACATTGGAAAATAAGTTCCTAGCAGAGACATGTATTCAACGTGTAGCTCTCTCCTGGCAAAAGGAGTGAAAAAAGTCCCTCTGTATGCTTTTGTTAGGCATCCAGTCTGACTGATTTCCTCTGTGATGAGTAACTGACAATTTGCTTGTGATTTATGGGTTTGGAGTAATTGAATTTTTTGGCTGTCATGTACTTTGAGCAAGAAATATTACATATGTTTCCAGAAAGATTACTTAGAGAAGAAAAGAGTGAAGTAATGCCAAGTTCTGAAATTTTATTTGGAAACAACATTCTAACCAGCTGGAACTTAAGATATTCTCCCTACATTTCTGAAACATGTTTGCTAAATAATCTTTGAAAATGTAGTTTGGGACATAAGGTTTAAAATGTGACATTTTTGGTTAAGTTGAAGACTCAAGTGGAAAGCAGAGTAGATTATTTTCACCTGCCCAAGAGCAAAAAATGCAATACTGAGGACTGGCTCATGCCAATGTAGGCACAAACTTCTCCAGAAGCAGGAGGTCCACAACTGCTCATTTTGCCTGTCAAACATTAGATATTTCTGCAAGCAGATATTTTAAAGTAGAAAAAAAAAAGAACCATTCATTCTCTAAAGCAAGTTCTTAGCTTTACCATAGGCCTACCACTGCATTCACTAGCTTTTACTAGTTCTGATCAGTCTGTGGATGTGTTTGATCCATGTAGAATTTTTATTGACTGCAGAAGAACTTGCAGAAGGACTGAGGAAGACACTGAAGACCTAAGCCATAACACCTTAGAACGGTGAATATGTGGTTTAACCAAGTCAGTTCTGCGTTTGTGGACACCATTAAAATTGGCTGCACCAAATTATGTTGAAGGGTTTTCTACATGGTTCTAAATTGGGTAATGTTACCCCAACTAGAAAAACATAAATATTTGTTAAGATACTGTTTGGGTGTTAGAATAACAGATTCATTTTTATGGCATTTAGAGCACATGAAATGGAAAATAATTGATTTGAAATATATAGGACAGTCTTTAAAATGAGTCATTGCCACCCCAAATGCTGATGGCAACTGATTTGAGAAATTCAAGTAGGACATCAGAATTCTCTTAAATATCATTTAATTTGTGAAATTTGTAATCTCAGTCTTGTCTATAGTTCTTTATGACCTTGTTGATATAGACCTTATTTCTTTCTAAATCTCAGGGCTTTTACTTTATTATAATCATTTCTCTTTTTCTATATCTTCAATCAATTCAAACTCTCTGCATTAGGACATTTTCTCTTCTTTTCTATGTCAAATAACCACCTTCCTGAGTTTCATTATTCTCTGGCTCTGACTCCCTTCTTCGTTCCCAGGAACCTGTCTCTCTGCCAGTGTCAGAATAGTAGTTTCTTTGCATATTTATTGAAAGAGAACATATTTGTACTATGAAAAAAACAAGGCTCATAGGCTCTGTAGTTTCAAAGTACATGAGTTTATTACATAAATATCAGGAGTCATCATACAACATTCCACTTTAAAACAGTTGTATGTGTATTGCACACATATACACATACAAATATATTTTAAATTTTCCAATAAGTGATTTCTGCTTTTTGTATATGAAATGTACTCCACACCAATTTCACATTTTTTCCTAATTTAGTATCACATTATATTTCCTCAAGGGTAGGTATGTACTAAAACTATGATGTAGGCACTAACGTTTTTGATTCCTTGTCTGTTTGTTGTCAAAATTAAAATTTCATTTGCTTGTATAATTTCTTAACTTTCTCCATTTCTCTCAAGAATAAATCACTCCAATTTGAGTCAAGAAAACACTGGGTTGAAATAATTACAGTTAAAGATGTGTCTAGAATTGATTACATACACACTGTAAACTATTTAGATAACTGATGAAATTGCATCTCTTTTTAACTGTATTTCAAAGCACTGATAGCCCACTTTTGTCTTTTAATCTGTGCTTTTAAAAATAAATTCAAAAGGCATTAAATGTGTTGATGTATTTTGATTCTGTATTTTACAACATGTCTACAGAGAAATGCTACCAAAAATTAGAGTCAGTGGTTTCTTCTTTGACAATGAAGCTACTTCCTGCATCAATTTGGTACAACCGTATATACACAAGATTTCTACATTTTACAGTTTAGATATTTAGTGGCAAATATCATGCCTATGTGTGGCATGAAGTGAATAGTGATGATGCTTATTCATTATTTCAGATTGAATCTACGGACACTATTTATAATATACCAGACGATGAAGTATCCAAACAAGTAGAGAAGAGTCAAAACTTATACCAAAACCAAGTAGGGGCCAGCTATTTCTGTTCAGTCATAATTTTCTGAGGAGTTTATCTCAACAGCATGATGACTTTGTCAAAGTTTCGTGGTACCCTTAGGCCAAATTATTGCTGTTTTGTTAGCATAATGAAAAATGTCTTACTTGTGATTATAATGTGTTCTCACACTGAGCACTAAAGATATCAATTTACCTGTGATTGAATAATTCATAAAAATGAGTTGAAATTTGTTTAGTTTTGGGAAGTAATAAAAATATATAATGTAGTGTTACTTATTTAAAAATATTACTTTATATGTTGTCAGAGATTAATTTTCAGAATTATCTCAAAGTCCATGCTATTTACTCATTTATACATATTGTTAGCTATTATTTTAATATTCCATTGTGGAAGAGAAGGATTGAATCTAGCTATATGAATGTCAGCTTATCTTTCAATTTTCTTCTACTGAGAACTTTCTCAGATGTTTTGAATATATACTTTCCCAAACATGACCATTCTGTATTATTTCATGTTAATCATCAAAGGACACAAGATATTGAAATAAAATATAGCAAAGCTAGTGGTAACTTCACTTAGAGTGGTAAATCATCTTCCCTTCTATACAATTTAATTTGGCTGAAAGTTATTTGAAATAATCATATCCAGAATAATCCTAAATAATATTTTTTGTTTATAGAGACTTACATGATTGAAGTGATATTTATAAATCAATATTAACAATTACTTTTACATAAACACCATAATCACAGTACAATACCCAACAACTAAGTAATTTATATTTATACTTCAGTATTCATGACACTCGGTCCCATACATGTAAGTCATAATACTATCTACACACAATAGATTTAAGAAAAAGAAGGAAATGGACAGATAGAGTAGAAATTAACTATGTGACCTTGTGGGTTTAGAAATCTTTGAGCAATGGCCTTCCCATAACTGGTAGAATACCCATATCATCACAATTTTTCCTATTATCTATTTACATTCATGTAGCTATAAATATATGCTGTGTGTATTTTCTATATTTACAGTATATATACACCTATGTATAAACACATAATTTATTCTTAGATTCATTAATGGACATGCAGATCAATCTGCAGAGTATAATGAAAACATTTATTTTCCTTACATAATATCACTTGTAATTTTTCACTTGTGGAAAAGTGCAAAAATATCATACAGAATCATATTTTTCACTAAAAAATCACCTTTGATGCTGCATTTTGTAATTTACAAATAAACTATGAATATAGTTCATTCACAAATTGAAATTAATTGCAATGTTGTTACAACAAGGCATTACTGAGGTTTTGATTTTTAGCATACTTGAAGTCATTTGTCTTTCAAAACAAAGACATCAACACGTTATTGTTAGCTTTTGAACTATTCATTAAATATGCAATTACAATTCTAAAGCTCATGCTAGTGTAATGTTGTTTGTATACAGTATTTATCACTGCTGTTCCATTTATTGTTCTGAAAGAGTCTTCTTTAGAAAATTGTTTCAGTCTGTTGAGACGACTAAGCTACAATGTTCCTGGAAAGTTTTCACCCTATAGAAAAGGCTGGAGGATAAGTGAGGCAAAAATTGAGAAGGAAAAATTTTAGTGGATTCTCGGGGGAAATAACAGCAAATGTAAGAAACGTTTTAACTGCAGCTCTCAGGCCTTCAGCCTCTCCTGCCTCATAAACAACCTGAAAAATGTTCAGTTCTTTAAAACATTGATTGTACTCTTCCATTAATTATCAGCTGTGGTCCTCCATTGCTCATGTTGTCTGTCATTTCCTGTTAGCAAAATAATATGAATCAATTAAAACTCACTTTCAGAGTAAGACATTGATATGCTTAATAGAAAAACAGAGATTACAAGCCATTGAAGAACATTTTGGGGTAAAGGACAGCGATTGATACTGTTGCTGTGATTTAGGAAATGAAATTTCATGGCATCTTGAATCACATGAAAATGTTGAAATTACAGCCCAGGCTTCTATATACAAATCAATTCACTCTCTTTCCACATACCCAAATTTCCCCCTTTTTCTTCAACTCATTTTTGGAAGGAACTAACCTAGAAAGAAGATGCCTAAGTGACCAGGTTTTGCCAATATACAGCTCCTCTGCCAAGCACATCAACAAAATGCCAACATATTCTAAAGATGTTTACAGAAAAATGAAAAATTTGTGGCCTTTTGCTTATGAATTTAAAAACGTTCACAGTGAGAAAGATATTTGTTGTGTTTAAGTTTTATTTTGTTTTGAAAAGGACTTGGAAATGTAGCCCGGACTGACGTACAACTCAAGTGTAGCTCAGAGTTACTTCAGACTTGCAATCCTTCTGCCTAGCCTTCTGAGTGTTGAGAATCTAGGTGTAAACCATCATGCTTAGCTAGGAAAATTTTTATAATAACACTATCATTTATTCAGTAAAAAAGCAGCTGGGGCAATAAAAACTCGGGGCATATTTTTAGCATATTCATTACTAAGAAAGTACCAGGGAATTGTGCTTGTAAAGACATGGACATAGATACATGAAAAATAGAGTGACATGAAGACTTGCAATTGTAGAAAATATTCACATAAATTTTAGATAATTTGAATTCACATTGTTTATTGACTGCTTTTTGTTTATTTGTTTGTTTGTTATGTTGGTTGGTTCATTTTGAGACAAGGTGTCATGTAGCCCAGGCTTGCTAGACATTACTCTGTACCTGGGAATGACCTTAAACTTCTAACCTATTGTTTCCACCTTTGAAGTTGTAGAAACCCAGGCATGTGTCACTTGCCTGGTCTACAAGATGCTTGAGATGCTAGGCAACCACTCTACAACTTGGCCATGTTCCCAGCCCGTTTATTAGCTACTAAGCCTTGCATTACATGACAAGAAGTCACGAGATCAGAGACCCATTCTCATTTATCATAGTGCACAGTATTATAGATAATATATTAGCATATAATATAAATATTATGTAATAGCAAAATTGTCTGTTATCCAAGATTGACAATTCTATATTTCAACAAGTTGACTTTCTTAAGGGCAGCAAAAACATTTCAAGAGAAAACTACTATTTTTGTAGTCTTCTGCTTGCTACCCATTTCTATTTTGTTTCTGTAATGGAGGCTTCTAAGGATGAGTACAGTGAAAGCAGGTCTGGAAATGTGAGGGTCATTGGGCTAGTGTTAAGTTTATAGTGATAAAAACTGATTAATGGAAAGATTAACCAAACTCAATTCCCAAAATTATCATTATAAAATGAAACACATTTTCTTATTTGTTCTGCTAGAAGAGAAAGAAAACTTCCTACTAAATGCATAGAAATAAGAATTTCAGCTGCCTTTCCCATTCCCTAAAAAGATTTCAAACTAAAAACAAAACAAAATAAAAAAAAACAAAAAATTCCTAAATCCCATAAAATTAGAGTATCAATCTTTTAGTATAAGATTAAAAAAACTTCTGAAATCTTATAAATTCAAGAATTTTCTTAACTAAAGCCACTCAAATTCAGACACAGTAAAATTACTGATAGAAAATAATAGTGAAAGTTAGTTTTAAATGGATGAGTTTCATCATTTCATTTGCAATTTGGTATTTCCAATTTTATAAGACCATACTCCTAATTTAGGCAAGAACAGACTTGAAATTTATAAACAAATGTACTTCCTTCAAAAGGACTACAAATGTAACTTTTTGCATTTCCAGTTAGGCTCTTTGGTCAAACCAAGAGTCTTCACTATTATTTATAACTGGAAATATGGGAAATGTAGTATATTAGATAATTTTACCAATAGAAACACTATATGTAACATTTTACTATATTAATATCAAACTTTAGTTATCTGTTCATGCAATTTTGTCATGACAGAAATATACAGTTTGTCTTTATCCAGACTCATCTATTATTAAAGCAAACGTCTCATCTGTGAATTATGATACTGAGTCAGAATTGTGATGCAGCAGAGAATAAAGGGAATTATGAATCATCCAAGCAGAACTGTTCTTGGATGCTTAGAAGCAGGCTGAATATTTGAAATACTTAACAAACTTTGAAGCTGTAAGGTTCTGCCATGTAGGTTATGTCTGCTCCTCAGAGTAGTCCTAAAAGGGATACTTTGAGGAACATACAGCATCAGTCCAGACTGATCTGCTGACATCATGGCTTTCTAATAGAGTCAGTGGTTCCTGTGGCAACATTACAACATGGCAACTCCCTAGAAGTCAGCGTACCTTGTAGGTAACTCCGGTGTCGGGGGCACCACCGGGCAGCTGGGCAAGTCGGTTATTTCAATAGCCCTCAATCTCTAATGTAAATATAACAATTATACAATAAATATTGAACAAATATATACAAAGAAAAGCTAAATAACACTAGCATAAAAATAGAGCATAAAGGAGACACTATCACAATATACAATTATCTTTTACTTTAAAGACCTATTTTTTAAATGAATCAGTTCTATTTATAATGTCAATTTTTTTATTTTAAATGACATGTACAAGTATGTCTACAATTACTTCCTAGGGACAGTTAATGAGAATCTATTCTCCTTATGTGAAGTTAGTATATGGAATGAAGACAGATAAACTACAAAATAAATATTTCTTAACTTTAACATTATGAAGAAATATGCATAACTCTTGATACTAGTTCTTTTATGCTATGATTGTATAATTTTATTTTCAAGAAATAAATCAAAATATAATTTGTCCATTATCTTAGTGACTTGATTTTTACAGATGTTTATCTTTTCCTCAATAGATGAAGTAACAGGAATGGAATTTAGAAATGTATATGAAATGTAATTGGAACACACACAGCTCTTTCTATACTACTTGTTCCTTAATGCAACTAATATAACTTTCTGTTTGAATAGCCTTCATAAAACAATTACAGAAGCAGTATTGTGCAAAATACAGGCAAAGCTAGCCAAATATGCATGAAGTTTAGATGAGTATTCAATGAAGCTTTATATGGATTGCAATATCTGCACTGATAGACAAGGCTTTTTGTCGCCTTACTAAAGAGCCTCTTTTATGCTTGAGGATCTAATTTACATAATCAGATGCATTTACTTATAAGCACAAAGGATATACTGGAAAAGAGAATTCATGTGATTTCTAAAGATGGCATTATTAAGTGGAGGCTGTATTTAGTTTGTTTTTCCTCACTATAATACATGAAAATCCATATTTATAAGGTGTTTAATATTTTATGAAATGCTATTTTAGGAGCAATGGTTTCGAATAGACAGAGGCTACAAAACTCTGCTGAAAATGGCTGTGCTTATGAATTGCCGAGAAAAACTAATTAAAAAAAACCTTTTATTAATCTAATAGGGTCAAACTTACAAAATGTGATTTCCAAATTGACATCTAAGTTTGTAAATTGATTCACCTAGTTGTACTGTTCAACCCATGGCAGCAGTGTGAGGCAAAATGACAAAACTCACTTTCTCAGCCATTTCATGAGAGTGATGCAGGGAATGTTCCCTTTCCGAGAACATTCTCCTTTGCTCATAGCTGGCTAGACGACAAGTTAGCCAGGAGGACAGAGTGCAGCCCCCAATGCCAATACATGCCAAAGACATGGAAGCGAGGTGCAGTGGGTACACGGATGAGGTCTTCTTTGTGACTGCCCGAAGAAACTGAAAATTCAGGATGCCTCCAATGAGTCCACAGATACAACAGGCTGAAAAGAGGATCATCTGAGAAAAAGAAAGAAGGTATTAAAGTTGATAAGGCTGAGATTTCCAGAACATAGAGCCTCGTGATGCTGCAGGCCAAGGATGGTAAATCTACAGTGAAAAAGATGTGTTCTCTTTGATTATAAGAAGGTAGGATAGGTATGCCTGTCAGTGGAGACTCCACTCAGTCTGACTCACTGCAGAAGAAGTATATCATAGAACTTCTAAAATGGAACCAATGATATATATTTTATGAAACTCTGAAGGTAACCAAATTTAGCTTTTGGCTAGATACAAATGAATATAATACTCATCTCTGATATGCACACTTTTGTGCAAGGAATGGATGTCACCTGCCTGATTCCTCCCAGAGGTCCTCTGCAAGAAGCACTAATGCAATTTGGAAGAATGAATGGTGATCAGGTCAGATTTTCCAACTTAAATTCAGTTTCATTCTGATGTCTTCTCTAAGTATCCAAGTATCTATAACTTTCTGTCTAGATGAACTTGGGGAATTTATCTGTCTTCTTTTTTTCTCATTACTTTATTGTATGTTTCCCCAAATGAGATTCTTAGGGACTTGCCATAACCTGGGCCAACATCATTCAAATCTTTTGTTGACCTGTGGCACCACAGTGAACTATTACACAGCAGCTGTTTCAATAGTGTTTATTGCCCATTGAGATGTCATACACATTTCATAACAAGGACATTTATAGTTTCCTGGAAATAATTTTGCTTTTTCTTGGATACCTAGTATAAAAAAAGTCATAATTTTTACAGAAGTCCTTTCTGGACATTATTGATCTTATCTGTTGTGTTAATTCTTTAGCACAAATAGCTTTATAACTTACTTTAGTGTTTATTTTTACATTATAAGATATTGTTTGCTATCAATAGTTAGCTGAGTTCAACAAGTAATTTTTGAGTAATGGCCATCAGTGAGGCAGCTTTTGGCATTAGAAGGACTTGTGCATTAATATCCTTGAGTATAATGAGGTTTAACATATTAAGTACGGTATGGTCAATATCAGAGACAGACAGACAGACAGACAGACAGACAGACACAGAGAGACAGTGACAGAGAGAGAGAGAGAGAGAGAGAGAGAGAGAGAGAGAGAGAGAGAGAGAGAGAGAGGAGAGTAACAATAATCTAAAAAGTTCTTATTAATAAAAAACCTGGAGACAGATATTGGAGTGAAAGCTGAAAGAGCAGAGGAATAGAACAAGCCAGCCACAAGTTCTTACTGCTAGGAAATCCTCAGCCCAAGAGAAAGAGCTACTTCCTGTATACTCATGCCTTATATATCTCTCTGTGCCCTGCCATCTTACTTCCTCTCTGCCCAGCTACATCACTTCCTCTTTCTGCCCAGCTCTATCACTTCCTATCTGTCTGTACAGACCTGCAGACTTCTATGGTTAACTAGTGCTGGGATTAAAGGTATGTGCCATCATACCTAGCTTTGTTCCTAGCTTGGCCTTGAACTCACAGAGGTCTGGATGAATCTCTGCCTCCCGAATGCTAGGATTAAAGGCATGTGCTACCACTGCCTCACCTCTATGTTTAATATAGTGGCTGGCTTTGTCCTCTGATCCCCAGGCAAGCTTTATTTGTTAGAGCAAATAAAATATCAAAGAGAGAGAGAGAGAGAGAGAGAGAGAGAGAGAGAGAGAGAGAGAGAGAATAGGTTGATTTAGGAGTAGAGAGAGGAAAAAATTATCAAAGTAGTATTGTAAGCAATTTCCTTGAATGAAGTTCCAAGAGAGGGCCAGGTCATTAATTCATGAAACAGTACTAAGAAAAGGCTGACAGGCAAAGATTTCTACTACTCCAGTCATTTGCTTCATTTCTCCAACTTAATTCTGCCTTACTTATTGTGCTTATGTCAGGGTTCTTATCAGAGCTGAGAACCCAATGATAAAACAATTAATCTTTGTATATCTGATTGAATATAATGTTCAATATTGATATTAAATAACAAATTGTTCCATTTAGTTGCAATGTGTATTTTAAAACTTAAGTAAAATCAACCAGTTACATCCTATTTTTAATGATACTCACTTGCCTTGCAGTTTCTTGAGTATATATTTTGGTGTTTACTCATTCACTGTAGTGGGTAGTCATTCCAGCTTTGGTCTGGAAGTTCCAACCCCCATTGAGGCTTCGGTAACTATCACGCCTACAAGGCGGGACCAAGGGAAGGCCCTGAAGACCCTCGCTCTCTTGCTGCTGGGAACCTGGATGCTAGAGGTGGACTGACAGAGCTCTCCAGAGAACACCGCCGGACTATGCTGAGTCTTTCCCAGAACCCTCAACCTACCTATCCCTACCTATCCCTTCATTTGTAAGTTACGCCATTAAATAAATCTCCTTTTAACTACGTGGAGTGGCCTTAATAATTTCCAGACAGGAAGTATAGGTGGGACTAACAGAGAAGAGAACTGAGGGAACAGGAAGGCAGAGGGACACACTGCCTAGAGCTGCCGCCAGGACAAGGAAGATGTAAGGTACCAAGAAATGGGCTAAATATAAAAGAGCGAGCTAGATAATGATAGGCCTGAGCCAATGGCCAAGCAGTTTAAATAATGTAAGAGTCTGTGTGTTTATTTTATAAGTGGGCTCCGGGACTGGCGGGACTTGGTGAGAACTCGTGAGAAATTCTCCAGCTACAATTCACAGATAATGTTAAATGATCATACATTCTAGCCTTTGACTAGTGAATTAATACTATTTTTAAAAATAGATGAAATATTTATTTTTACAGGAACATCTATGTGTCTGCTACTGTTATTCTCATTGTCTTTAATAGTTAATGATACTGTATTGATATGCATTGGCAGAATATTGTTGCCTATGAATTAAAGTATTAGAATTAGTGCCCAGGTTGTTAATCATATACTATTTCAAACCCCGTTAGGCAAGTGATTCTATAATGAAGAGATATTAGTAAAGAAGACATGTTGTAAAACATTTACTGTACAACTGGAGATCTTTGGGGCTACCTTTCACTTACAGATTTCAGAAAATACAGGAAGATAATACACTGTCTAATTGTAACTACATATACCATTTACATGGTACTTTGCAAAAAGTTTATCTTTATAAATTATGGGACAATTAGAAAGACAATGAAGACAGACAGCTCCTTAAAAATTAAATCATCCCTTTCCTCCTCCCATGCCTTCCATTCATTTTTGTCTCCTTTTAATTTCTTCTTCAAATAAGCTGTTTCAATACAACCATAACATGTATTGATAGTTAAAGTATATAAACAATAAAGGCCACACCTAAAGAGTGATGGAAGAATTATAGATGCCATAACATGTATTGATAGTTAAAGTATATAAACAATAAAGACCACACCTAAAGAGTGATGGAAGAATTACAGATGCCAACTAGAAATACAAACTTATTTCCCCAAATGTTCCCATTTTCTTCAAATATTTAACAATTATATTACACACAACTGTTACAATGAATGTTTTATCTGTCTTCCATAAATAGATACCATCACAAAGAAAGACATTAGAGAAAAATGGAAGATGAGGATGACTGGGAGGACCCCCACTTACTGCTCTGATCCCATACCTGACATTCCATTGGAAACCTTTTTTTGAGCTCAAAAAACATTCTACAGGGTCCTTGCGTATTAAATTTATCAATTAGTAAAAGTTCATGATCTTTTATATAGTGCTAGTAGAATAAATCATTCCCTTTCCTTCTTTTCAGCTCTTATAAAATGTCACAAGGGCAGAGGAGAATCCACACTTCAGTATGTGGGGCTCCCTTACAGCCAATATCAGAGTCAACAGGGAGCATATTGCCTATCCCAGAACCCTTTGATAGTACTAAAAAACATCTGAAGATGATTATGTGTACTCACAGTCATAAAAATGAATTAAATAAATCTTAAAAAGGAATCAACTGCAATCATAGCACCACATCTGTCTTGGTGCTTTGCAAAATTAGTTTCACAGCAAAAAAAAAAATGTAAGTAATTAATCCTTAGGCCCAGATCTGTATTTGATCAGTTCAATTTCCCACAGAATAAGTTTTACATTTATTAGCTCCCTGGAGGACGCAGGTGATTGCTTGGGAATCTCTAAGTAGAAAAACATAGACTCTCCTGTATAGCAAACATTAAAGTTTGAATATTCAAGTATTTAAAGGGTATATCAAAGCTTCTCAGGGACTTTGGTGTTTTTCTTGTCTCTTACATTCTTGATAGTTTTCTTTGAAACAATAAGCCCAATATTTGCTTCTCAGTTTCCCTTTAATCCTTAATTAGCAACATTAAGTAGAAAAAGTTCTTTAGTCTTCATTTCTGTTTTGAATGCCTAAATTTCAAACCCTTCATCATAGGATACAAACAAGGGAAAAACTTACAACAAGTCCAGATTTTTTTTTGGCGCACAGTATTCCACATATGCCACAAAGAAGAAACTGCAAAAGAAAAGAAGAATTATTGCATTTACATAGAGAGGAGAAGCTTAGATTTTTAACTTATTATAATCCGTTCATGACACTTGCTACTAGGAAGCTTACATGTTTCGGATTCTCATCAAACCCCCCAAAAAAACCTTGCTGTGGAATATCAAAGGCTATTTTTTTTAAAGCTAATTGTGAGACCTAAGCAAAACTTAAATCAGTTTGTCACCAGGAAAAAAAAAATGCAAAGTAAAGAAACTAGAATTTTGCTCCTCCTGCTTTATTCCACTGTCTTTTCCTTTTCCACTTTCTCAGAGACAAACATGTTATACTGCATTGACTTGTAGTAAGCACTTAGACCTCAATGGGTTATTATATGGATAGGGAAGATAACCCAGATAAAAAGATAAGACTTCAAACAAGGAGATCATCCTCCATATAGACATTATTTGTACTTCTCATTTTGGAACAATGACTACATCATTCTGATAGGAAGATTGTTTCTCTGAGCATGTCTAAAGAACCCAAACAGACCAAGCAATTGATGGCATACAATTTCATATAAATAGAAACTGGTTACAAAGCTGCTTTGCAGAGCCAACTACATTAAATCATCTACCCATGATAAAGGTATTTTGTGTCATAAACTAGTCAAGTGTTTAATTTATATGGAAATATTTAGGACTGTTAGAATGTAAATTTGTTCATACTTGAGTTGGCCTAATCTGTAGTTAAATAATTAATAAATAAATAATAGGAAAGTTAATGGCTTTCAGATTTGCTAACAAACCTGCTTCCAATTGATTTTTTTTTTTTGAGGCAGGGTTTCTTTTTTTTGTTTGTTTTTTTTTGAGACAGGGTTTCTCTGTGTAGCTTTGCACCTTTCCTGAATCTCCCTCTGTAGACCAGGCTGGCCTCAAACTCACAGAGATCTGCCTGGCTCTGCCTCCTGAGTGCTGGGATTAAAGGCATGCACCACCACCGCCCCGGCTCCATTTGATTTTTAATTTTTTTGTTTTTTGTTGTAGTACAGTTAGTAAGGTTCTTGCCACCAAACCTGACAACTTGAGTTCAATTTCTGTGACTCACGTAGTGGAAGGAAAGAACCAACCCCTGCAGGTTGTTTTCTGATGTCCACATGTGTAAACACATGTATACACACACACACACACACACACACACACACACACACACACACACACACACACAATTTCATAAATAAATGTAATAAAAATTTCAAAAGATCTCAAGTCATAGATAATAATTTAACTAGTTTTAACTAAGCATTTTGTATCTGGATATATACATGTTTTATAAAAATATGTATCAAAGTATTCTAATACTCCTCTGAAATAATACGCTATGGTGATATTGTGTTCCCCAATATAATTGCGAACACTAATAAACTTATCTGGGGTCAGAGAACAGAACAGCCACTAGATATAGAGGCCAGAAAATGGTGGCACACACACCTTTAATCCTAGCATTCCAGAGGCAGAGATCCATCTGGATCTCTATGAGTTCAAAGCCACACTGGAAACAGCCAGGCATGGTGACACATGCCTTTAATCCTAGGAAGTGATGGCAGGAAGCAGAAAGGTATATAAGGTCTGGAAGCCAGGAACTAGAGCCTGTTTAAGTTTTTAGGCTTTTAGCAGCAGTTCAGATGGGATTCATTCTGGATGAGGACTCAGAGGTTTCTAGTTTGAGGAAACAGGATTAGCTGAGAAGTTGGCAAGGTGAGGTTAGCTTTGTGGCCTGTTCTGTCTCTCTGATCTTCCAGTGTTCACCCCAATACCTGGCTCTGGGTTTGTTTTTATTAATAAGATCTTCTAACAATTCGTGCTACAATATGCATGTGAGGATTATATTGAAAAACAATGGGTAAGGGAAGCTGCTGTGAAGGGACTCTCCTGTAAGAGAACATGACAGTTATAAATGAGGTAGTATGTAGCAAGAGAAGTTAGTGAGCACAGGATACACAAAAACTTGGTAAAGACATTAGATAACCTTTCAAATTATTGGGGAAATTATAAGAATTGCTAAATGGTCTTATTAATAAAAAAACCCAGAGCCAGATATTGGGGTAAAAAGCTGAGCGATCAGAAAAGCAGAAAGAAGCCAGCCACGTTCTTTCTACTTGGAGATCCTCCGCCAAAGTGACCTACTTCCTGTATACCTATGTCTATATACTTTTCTGTTCTGCCATCTCATTTCCTCTCTCTGTCCAGCTACATCACTTCCTCTTCTTGCCCAGCTCTGTCACTTCCTGTCTGTCTGTACAGACCTCCAGACCTTTATGGTTAGTGCTAGGATTAAAGGTATGTACCACCACAACTGGCTCTGTTCTCTGTGTGGCCTTGACCTCACAGAGATCTAGACAGATCTCTGCCTTCTAAGTTTAATCTTTCCAAACTTCTAATCTTTCCAAACATCATATAGGAAAACTAACATGGAGTACTTTGAATGTTTATATGTACAAATTTTTGCAAATGCCATAGGAAAAAACAATTTAGTATATTTGCATAAATTCAGATAAATAAATATTTTCTAAGTATAAAACCAATGTTATGGACCAAAACATATATTGAACTTTATAGAGTCTTTTGTATTGTTTCTATCTCACAGGTTTCAAGACTGTGCTCAAGCAATTCCAGTTTGGACAAATTATGTTCCTTTTAGCTCCGCAAGCTTTAGATCAAAGCCTAAGCTGCCCTTCTCTTCAAATTTCACTAATCTGTTATTCAACCTGAAAGTCAATTCACCCAAATTTATTTTCAAATAATTTGGTAGGAGCACATTTTTGTTCCTTCATTTGTCTTGAAATCTATTTATACTGCCATTATTTATTTACAGCAAGACTCAAAGGGCCAGAACAACACAAGCAGAATTCTCCATTCCAGCCACTTGGTTGAGACACCTAGATGTGAGGAAATGTCTCCTTCCTGCTGTGACACTTCACTTGGATGGAGCTAAGGATTTGGGGAGGGAAAATGTATAGTAGGAGAGAAGTTAGGTGACATTTTTTAATTGACCTTCAGTCGAGTATTTAAAAATCCTTCCGTAATAGTTATTTTAGTTAGGGTATTTAAAATAATGGAAATTTGAAGTACAGTTGAAGAGCTTTTGGCTTAAACTTAGCCATCATAATTTATGGAGAAGAGTAGCACCCCAACAAAATAGTCAATTTATCTTTTATTCTATTGTTTATCTTTATTTACAGCAAGCCATTGCACTGAAAAGGTACTTCACAGGTGGTCTAATCTAATTAGTCTTGGTACACAATGTTAAGTCATCAAGTGCTGTACTATAAAAATAAGTGAATTAGAGGCATCCAAGATCATCAAACAAAGTGAAGCTATTGTGAAATTAGCATTCTATGTTTTAAGTGAGTGGAACTTTTTATGAAAAGACCATGGAGATTATTGTTTTTGTTTATGGTATAGAAACAAGCAAGGATGTAATTTCTACTCCAAAATGCAGAATGATAACTTTTCTAGAGCCCACTTAAGAACTAAGATTCTAAAATAATAAAAACATTTTGATCAAAGGATAAGCAAAGTCCTCCAAAGAAAGTCTGGAAAGTCAGACTGTCACCTGTTGCAGAACATGGGAGAGATAAAAAGCACAGGTATCCACTGTGTGTGTGTGTGTGTGTGTGTGTGTGTGTGTGTGTGTGTGTATGTGTGTGTGTAGATGTTTGTGTAAAACCCTGTTTCTTTCTTAGTCATCCTCTTTTAAGAAACAATATCTATAAGTACTAGAAGATAGCTAGCAAAGTGTTATAGAATATTATTTTAAGTTACTTTTGTTTATGTTGCATTTGTTTAACTCTGTGAAGCTGTGATACTGTGCCTGTCTAAAACACCTGATGGTCTAATAAAGAACTGCACAATCAATGGCAAGGCAGGAGAAAGTATGGGGGGTTGGCAGGCAGAGAGAATATATAGAAGGAGAAATCTGGGAGGAAAAAGAGAAGTAGCCAGAGAAGGAGGAGGACTTCAGGGGCCAGCTACCCAGCTACCTAGCAAGCCACAGAGTAAGAGTAAGATTTACAGAAGTAAGAGAACAGGAAAAGCCCAGAGGCAAAAGACAGACAGGTTAAGTTTAAGTTAAAAAAAAAAGCTGGCAGAAGTAAGCCAAGCTAAGGCCATGAATTCATAATTAAGAATAAGCCTATGCATATATTTATTTGGGTGCTGGGTGGTAGGTCCCTCAAAAGAGCAAAAACAAACAACATTTTGGTGTACCAATGTGGTGCTCAAATTTCTATAGTGCCTGAGAAAGCTTTAAAAAAATATGACACCTTTAAGAGTTTCTGCTGGACAGTTTCTACAGGAACACTGAGCCCTTGAGCAGCTAGTATGTTAAGTAGGAATAAAAAACTAAGTTAAAATGCCTGCCACAGTGCAAGCTTGGCATTCTAGTGCTCTAGGAAGGCTGAATGCAGTTCCTGGTCAGACAAACCTCCTATCAGTTGTGAGTTTCACAATTGGTATTCATGACCAGAGAAGTGGGCAGAGTCAGCTGAGAGCCACAGGCAGAGGATCCAGGTGTAGGTTAGCAGTTAAAGGTTTGCTCATATAGTCAAAAAAGGCTGAAGATACACAATAAAAGAGGTTCAGACAGAAAAACCTCTAAACAGGTTATAGTGTGTTTAACAATGTGCGTAAATTTAAGAAAAGAAAAAGAGTATAGTCATAGAAAGAAATGAATAGTTTAAAAATAATAATAAAGTCTTTAAAGAGAGTAAAAGTAATATAAAAGAAAAAAGCCATGTAAGATGTGAAATATACAGGAAATCTAGATCTTGTATGTTGTGTTGATTTTGAATTCTTTGATTGTTGAAAAGTGAAGGACAGCTTCAAAGAAACCTGGAATTGAAAGAGGGACTGTTGAAATAAATCAGCCTATATACTTTAGGAATTCTTTAACTTTTAAAAAGTAAAAAAATATATTTGTTAAGTGGAAGTAAAAGATGCTTTGAAGTTTTGTTCCCACAGGAGACAAAAAGG